AATTGCAGCTATCTCAATTATTGTTATTTTGGTTTAACTGTTTTTACAAATCTTAATGCTATCACTGTTTAACATGGAACGCTATCGTACCTAGTTGAGTGGTGATAAGTGTTGATCGAATGCTRGGTTTGGTCAACTAAATTAGGAAAACACAAGGTTTATTATGGCTATCCTAATAAATCTAAGGTTAAATGCTTGAATTGCAAGAATGCTGAAATTTACATAGGATCGATGGCCAATCGATTCAACCCCAACCCTTGAACCAGAATTCGGTAAGACTGATTTTCTCTTGTTTGTTTAGTTTGTTATTGCTTTCTTATTCTTTAAATTTTAGTTATTAAATCTTCCCACTCAATTATCCATTCGGCTAGAGATTATTGTTTAGCTCCCTGTGGGATTCGACCTAGTACCACTTTTACTACAAATATTTTATTGTGGAACTGGCATTAATTTTGAGGACTTTGACAACCCGTCAGTTGGTTCGCGAGCTTCGTACTCACCCAGAACCTGATTTACCATGAGCTGGGAGTCACTGCAGACGACGATGTGCTTGGCTTTCACTTCCTTTGTGAGGTCTAACCCGGCTAGCAGCGCCTCGTATTCTGCTTCATTGTTGGATGCCGCGAACTCAAAGCGTAGCGCATACTCCAGTTTCACACCGCTTGGTCCATACAGAACGATCCCAGCTCCGCTGCCCTGCCGATTTGACGAGCCATCAACATGAAGGATCCAGGGTTCTTCATCCCAGTTCGGGCTTAGCCTAACTAGGAGAGATGTCACACTGGTTGCTACTTCACGGCGCCCGAGTTCAACCAGCCCGGGAACTCTGAGCTCTCCCGTACTGGGGGCCTCGTGTTCTACCGGCCTGGGACTTTGGAGGTAAAGGTGCATTCTGTGATGAAATCTGCCAAGGCTTGGGCCTTGATAGCAGTTCACGGTTTATACTAGAGTTCATACTTGCCGAGCTCGATGGTCCACTTTGTCAACATTCCCAAGACCTCGGGTTTGAGCAAAACTTGCCTCAGAGGTTTATTGGTAAGGACAACGATGGTGTGAGCTTGGAAGTATGGGCGGAGCTTTCGGGCTGCTATAACCAGTGCATAGGCTAACTTTTCTATCTTCGGGTACGTCGTCTCTGCTCCCTACAACACTTTACTAACATAATAGATGGGTCGTTGGACCCGATTTACTTCTCTTATTAGTACCAAGCTGACCACCTCGTCAATTTCCGAGAGGTATAACTCTAAAACATCACCCACTTCGGGTCGGGTTAAGACTGGGATGCTGGCGAGGTGCCTTTTGAGCCAACAAGTGGCTCGAACAATTTATTTACAAGTCTTTGAAAAGTAGCCCCAGCGTTCTTCATCCCGAAGTGCATGACCTTGTAGCAGTACAGGCCGAACTCGGTTATGAAGGCAGTTTTCTCCTCATCAGCTAGGTCCATTTTGATTTGGTTATAGCCCGAGTTGGCATCCAAGAAGCTCAGCAACTCGTGCCCCGAGGTCGCGTCAACTAGATGGTCGATCCTGGGAAGTGGGAAGCAATCCTTTGGGCAAGCTCGATTTAGGTCAGTGTAGTTGACGCACATGCACCACTTACCGTTAGCCTTTTTCACCAGAATGAGGTTGGCCACCCAGCTCGGGTAATGGACTTCCCTAATAAAATCGGCTGCAAGGAGTTTCCCGATCACCTCGTCGACTTCCC